CTCTCCCTCCGCTCTCATCTTCCCAGCTGATCCGTCTTGCCCGCCGACAACCAACCACTCTATTCCTCCTCTCTCACACACACACACACACACACACACAACAAAAAAAAAAAAAACTCCTGTCACCACAACAAACTCCTCTTCCGCCTCCCTACCTTCTTACCCGCCTCCTTATCATCTTCCCTCGTCTCTTCTCTCCCTCCGTTCTCATCGTCCCAGCTGATCCGTCTTGCCCGACAACCACTCTACTCTATTCCTCCGCTGTCCCTATTGTCCTCTGCAGAAATCAATCCAGGACCTTTTCTCTATCGTATCTTCCACTGCAGTATTCTAACCTTTCAACCGATCTCCATAACAAGATTACTCGTACTAAAGAGAATATAAGTAACTTTGTTATTCTGTTATTTGAAATTCCTTTTTCATTCTTCGATCAGCGGAACGCACGCACCAGACTGACCCAATTAACCGATCTCTCCGTCAATCTTCTCGCACACAAACAGTTTAGGAACCCACTTCACCAACACAGCTACTCTTCCTGTCCCCTGCTGCTACCCTTCTATGCTTCTATGCTAACTCCTCGACATTCAGATCAGCCACGGCTCGAGAGCCCCCGGCCTTCAGGTCCCAACACCACGGTCCCGTAAAGACCCACGCGCTCAGGTCCCAACAACACGGTGCAGTAAAGACCCCACGTGCTCTGGTCCCAACAACAGCGAATCAGGTCCCAACAACAGAGAATCAGGTCCCAACAACAAAGAATCAGGTCCCAACAACAGAGAACCAGGGCCCAACAACAGAGAATCAGGTCCCAACAACAGAGAATGGGGTCCCAACAACAGAGAATCAGGTCCCAACAACAGAGAATGGGGTCCCAACAACACGGCCGGTAAGGACCCGAGCTCCAGAATGCGACGAGCAAGTACTACATAGCGTCTGAGAAAGGATTTGGAGACTATACAAATGCCACAGAGAATCGGAAGAATGAACGGCGAAGAACAGAGATGAGAGAAGAGGAGGAGGAGGAGAGGAGGAGAGAGGAGAAGAGGAGAAGAGGAGAAGAGATCATTCGTTGGCTGGGTCGTCTGGAGAAGCAAGAATGACGTCGCCCTCTTCCTTTCCCCCCAAAGAACAACAAACTTCTACAAAATCATCGTCCTCTGCCAACAAAAAAGAAAAGAAAAAAAAAAAAAAAAGAAAGAAAGAAAGAAAGAAAGAAAGAACGAAAGAAAGGCGTTGCTCCCCTCCGCTGGCTGGCTAAGTGATAGCCGTCTGCTGGCGGCCAGCTTCTTTAAAATGCCTCGCCCCCTCTTCTAGCTGTATCGGTATATGTCCCGAATATATCGTCACAATATGTCCCGAATATATACATATATACATGTACGCGTATGTACATACACAGAAAACAGTCTGCGACAGCCTCTTGTTGTTCCCCTCTTCTCCCTCTCTGCCTACGCTCCACCGGGCAATTCTCTACGACAAAAATATATACATCTACACATATATTGCCATATATTAATTTGTTTATCGATCAATCTGCCTATATAATGGTTAGCATGTGTGGGTGAAAGTGAGAGAGAGAGAGAGACGTGTTTACAACTCTTCCACATGGGCAGAACTATCATAAACTCCAATCTGCCTATATAACGGTTAGCATGTGTGTGTGTTTGTGTGTGTGTGTGTGTGTGTGTGTGTGTGAGAGAGAGAGAGAGAGAGTATACGTATTTACAACTCGTCGATGGGCAGAACCATCATCAACTCCTCTTCTTGGACTCGCACAGAAATTAGGGAATCTTCACGACAGCTAGGATATTCGGAGTCGCTTGCAATTATTAGACGCCTTATCACCCCGCCCTTTCTTCGCACATTTATTATATTTATTATTATATTTATTATATTTAAATAAAATATAATATATTGATTGACCTCATCCGGCCTGCTCGTTCGCTAACCGCCGCCTGCTCTATCAAATTCACAGAGCAGATGTTTCCCTGGGTCCCTCTCTTGCAAACCTCGTGCAGTCTCCAGTTCTACCGCCGGACGATGATGCTCTCGCTAATATCACGGTTATTTCGTATAGATCCGCTTCTAATTGGCGTAACTTAAGCGGTATGGACACCTCTCTCTCTCTCTCTCTCTCTCTCTCTCTCTCTCTCTCTCTCTCTCTCTCTCTCTCTCTCTCTCTCTCTCCCCCCAAAAACCCTTCGTCCTCAACGCTCTCGTTAAGCCCTAAACCCTAAAAGCTATGTACGCAGTAAATCCAATCTCTCTCTCTCTCTCTCTCTCTCTCTCTCTCTCTCTCTCTCTCTCTCTCTCTCTCTCTCTCTCTCTCNTCTCTCTCTCTCTCTCTCTCTCTCTCTCTCTCTCTCTCTCTCTCTCTCTCACACACACACACACACACACACACACACACACGCATACACACACACACACAACGATACACTAACACACGATCACATGACCACAGTCTCTCTTGCCCTGAATGCCCAAACAAAACACACGGAGTGGGGATCAGGTATTTCCTGGTCCCTCTTTGCTGATACGACCCGGGCGATAACTCAGTGCCACTTGCTGCCCCTCCCTCGCATCATCCCTTAAGCCTTTTATTTAAGGCGCATAGACGGATGACCGCCCTCTGTTGTAGGCGCGCTTCGCGCCGATTCAAACATCACTGGAGTACAAATTTTTGCTGCATCCCTGCGGACAGCCAACACCGTAACCACTGTCACCGCTCCACGCATCATTGAAACAATAAAACTGAACACGCAATCGACGAAAAACATGCCTAATTACCAGTCCATTAATCAAATCAATCAGCGATCAATCACGCACACACGTGCTCTCTGATCGGTCCTTGTAAACCCACTAACCAAACAATTAATCAACTCGATTAAACCACTCAATTAACCCAATTGCTCAAACCAATCAATTAATCAAATCGATCCAACCAATCAAGTTCTTAAATCGACCACTCAGCGTCAAAAGCTCGTGTGCGCGGATCCATTCACCCCCAGGAAGACGATGAAGATAACGACAACAGCACCCCCTCTGAAGTGATAACCACGTGGAGGAAGGAAGGTAATCAACCACCTTTCGACCGATTGATGAGGTCAAGAGAAGAGAACGAATCCGAAGTCGCTCGGTCAGGTGAGACTCGTGATAATAAGGAAAGCGCAGATCGAACAAGCAGGACAAGGAATTCCAAGCGGACAGCGAAGCTAGGATAAAGAAAGTGGGATGGCAGAGGAGGAGGAGGAGGAGGAGGCGGGGGGGGGAGGAGGAGGCTGAGGATGTCGATTAACAAGAGATTGTGTGGCCAGAGATTACGTCGCGTACTTAGTTAGTATCATGTCCTGTGGAGTAGGAGATCGACGGAGGAGGGAGGGAGCGACGAAGAACAGTTTCAAGGAGGTTGGTTGATTAACACGGCAATCAATGGTCAGCGAATGCCATTGTACGCGACGACCCCTCTCCTCAGCGCACCCTACCGGTAGTAGCCTCCCAATCCCTTCCCTACTTAGACGTTGTTCTTTTTTTTCTTTTTTTTTTAATTCCCCCATGGAGGGGAAAAGGCTGCGCCGCACTCTGCTGCAGTGCAATACAGAGGCAACACTGGAAGGGTCAGGCAAGCAAGCGTACCCGTACGACCCCTCCGTGGCCCAGAAAAATTAATTTAATATCGTGTGATCCGATGGACCACGGATCAGATATTAAACTGATCAGAACAGATACTACATTTGATCTTAGCCAAAAGGCCGAGAAAGGTATATATTAGACGTTGTTGTTGCCCTTCTTGAATCTCCTATCGTCTTCCCCCGAATAGAACGCACGAACATTATCGCTACATATCGATTAGACTGAAGTTGTACCCCCAATACCGCTCTTGTGACTGTAGGTTCTATTCGGGGGAAGACGGTAGCGACTCCCCCCCCTCCCCCCTCCCCCTCTCTTTCTCTCTATCGCTCCTACCGGCCCCGCTCTCCTCACTTCGCCCTTAGACTCTCCGAATTCTGCTTGGCGCCAACCCAAACCTTTTTAGCGCCAATTCTTCTTGGCGCCAACTTCTTCCCTTATGCTGTGATAAGATTCCCTTATCCCATTTGCAGCGTATCACCACTAAACCTCGTGTTCATCCTCCTCCATCGCGTCCTTCTCCGTGTTCATCCTTCTCCGTCACAAACTACGGTAGGGTAATTCCCGCCCCCGGGAGAGAAGGAGAAAAAGGAGGAGGGGGGGAGTGACGACGATCAGGAGGTTCTCGTCCCCCCTCAGCCCCTTCTTCCCCCCAATACAACGTACGGTCATTATAGCTGTATTTGGACTGAAAGATACCCCAAATACAGCCATAATGACCGCACGTTGTATTCGCGAGCAGAAGAAAGGTAATCCGACTTCTGCTTTGCATCGTCTTCTCTCCTCTTTCAGTAAAGCCTATTCCATACCCATTCCCGTTGCAGCATTGCTCAACCCCTTCTTAATCTGTTTTCTGCTGCTTTCATCTGCGCAACCTAGACAGATTCCCTCAGCACGGCGACGAGCACGATTCCGTCTATATCCGTTTGTGGGTGTATCCTCA